CCCCCCCCCCCCCCCCCCCTCCCATCCCCACCCTTACAAATTCGAAACAATGTTCAATAATAGTCACGCTTTCCGCCGATTGTTTACGATGCTAAATCGATTAGATGATTAACCTATAGGTGCAGCTCTGCGTTTTTCAACGTGAGAAACAACGTGAGTTTTGTTCGTAACGCGTACACTCCCTTTCTTTATAGAACCTGGTGTTCCAGATAATGTTAAATTGTCGAGTGCATCTTCCTCTCAACTTAACTTGACCTGGCAGAAACCTGGGGACCCTAGTGGGATCATTAGAGGATATGTTGTGACATGGATAAAAGTTTCAAACGACAGAAATGAAAAGTTTAATGGTACTTTGAAACGACGAATAAGTGGCGGAAAGGATACTTGGTTTGTTATAGATAATCTTGGTGAGTGTGTTATTTATCTCTTAGGGACTGCTCATTATTTATTGTACAGGGGGAGACTGAGGAGAAACTCTACCGTTATAATATTTTTTCGTTGCCCCTCTTAAGACAAGTAAATCCCCCCCCCCCCCAAACAGGCAAAACAAGAACATAAATTTTGGTCCCCCCCTCTAGCTCTTTATCTTTATTTGGAGAAACAGAAACTCTAGCTCTTTATTTAGAGAAACAAAAATAGATAATGGGGACCAATAGACAATTCCCATAATAGACTAATTTTTATCTTAGCAAAAAAAGTATATTCCCGGGAAAGGCATACTAAAATTAGTAAAATTGCAAAGTTTGATCGCGGAATGTTGTAAAATATGTAGAAAATATAGCCTTCCGAAGTTTGCAAATTTTGTATGCTTTTGTGTTGCAATTTTCGCATGCAACACAAAAGTATACAAAATTTGCAAACTTTGCAAGGCTATCTATAATGGGGATTGTCTATTTACATGAACATAAGGGACTTTTTATTTGGCTTCCATTTATGAATATTGAAGGTCTACAAACATTGTTATTTGTTAAGTTGTTTTGTGATACATTTTTAAAACTACTAATGTTTTTTCAAACTAGTAAATATTTTCGAAGCCCCCCTTCTTTCGTCTCTCTGTATTTTTTCGAAGCTCCCCCCCCCTCCCTTTAAGGTTTTAAAAGATTTAAAGCCCCCAGTTTCTCCGCAATCCCCCCCCCCTGTACAATAAATAATGAGCGGTCCCTTACGTGGCACTTATTGGAATAAATTCTTAAAGACTTGAATTAATTATTTCAATGGTATCTGCTTGTCTTATAGTGACAAACCAACTAACTTTGTAAGGGTTTTTGTCAGTGGTGAAACTAACCATAGCAACTGGTCATGCCATGCAAATTTTAGATTATTTAAATTTTTCAAACTTGTAGAAATGTATTGTCTTTAGATTATCTAAGGGTACGTTTAATAGCATAGCATGACCAGCTTCCATTGCTACAATCATTAACAAAACATATTCGGGCAACTTGCAAAACATTGTCAAAAATTCAATGATTCCAATTTAAGATTCATAAATAACCAAATATACCCCCCCCCCCCCCTTAAGCAATGTTGCTCGGTATGACATCATGTTTTCAATGAGAACGTTTTCCTCTATTTATGATGCAATACTCTAACACAACATTGTTAAGGGGGCGGCGGGGGGGGGGGAGAGAGGGCCAGATTATTACTGCCCTAAGGGTTTTGTCAACGATTGTAGCTTTCCCACTGGTTTTTGTAGATGAAAATTATGAGCGGAAGATTATATACAATTTTTAGACCTAACCAGGAAGAACTGCGAAAAATGCAACTATGGGCTTTCTCCAGGCAGGAGCCGACCCCGTAGCCTGCATGGCAGGCGGTCCCTAAAATCGGACGGGAATTGATGATTGGCTGCGAGTCTGAGCCGCTGTCACTCAAAAGTGAATACACTTTAATATGTAAACATACGTTTAACACTTTAATGATGCATGCGTTCGCTTTAATAGCTGTTGTACGTAAAACTGAGCGCTTCTCGAAAGTCGAAACGCGAACTGATTGTCAAACGCGAGCAAGAGATAGCAGTTAAAGATTTACTCCTTGGAAAGAATGTTTTGGCCGTTCTATGGGAAAAGCTTGATTTTTACATTGTTCTTGTTGGCACGAGAAAATATAACGAGAATAGATACAGACGGCCGTATAGTCTTTCTTGCAACGGGTTTTATAACAGGACTATTACGCCTAGGCCTATTAGCCGCTTCACTTTCTGAACTTTTTAAGGCTTTCGTTACCACACGGCTTCGTTAGGGAGACGAGACAGTTCATATTGGCAACTGAGGTTTTTAATATACACAGGCAACGCGTTTATATCTCGTTTGATTATGGCAATCAGTTCGCTTGCATTTCGGATATTTCGCTCACACGGTTTACAAACTTGGTCGGATAGTTCCGAGGTAGAATTAACTTCGATTCCTAAATGAACTGAACCGGCAATTCGGCTTATTTCGGCCAAGGTTTTGCCACTGTCGTAACGTTTCTTTTGCTTGCCTTAAATAAATAATTTCTCCGACGATATATAAGAATATAAGATATTTTCTCTATTGCCCCGTATTTTAGTTTCAAAGCACACTTAACTATACACAAACGACAGGTCATTATATCTTCCATTCTCGTTCTAGATCCATATTCTGTATACAATGTTAGTCTGAATGCTTTCACTAGTGCTGGTAATGGACCAGTTGTAAATAGGAGTGATAGAACTAATGAATCAAGTAAGTTGTAACATATGAAAACATATTTTTCTAGTCACTTTAACTTTGCTTTAACCCGGGCAAGCAAACACCGCGGAAAAACGTCTGCGCATGCGTCAACATTACTGAAATCTGTATTGCGAACCTGATGTCAAGTGTTCCGAAGGTTGTCAAAAACTCAAAATGGAAGCGATAAGGAGCGGCTTCGATGTTTTGCCTTTTCTATGAAAATTCAAGGGGAATAATGAACGTGACAACCTAAAAACTAGAAATAATTATAGTCTACATGTGCAAGAAGTAGTATTACGCAAGAAAATAAACCAAAGGTGACTGTCGATAAATTTATTGTATAAAACGTTCTTTAACTGAACCATATATACAAAGATATTTTTCCTTGGGTTCATATGATCCACATTTTTGTCAATAACTTTTTTTGCGTAGCGTGTATAATTTTTGCGTTGACTATATTTAAGGGTAATGATTTACTCCACAATTAAATCGTGTGCAAATGCTCAACTTTTCGATAGTTTTCTTAACTTTTGTGCTTAAGTTCGGTATTCGACAATTTTTCAAGATATGTTCACACGCCTCCCGAGGCCGGTTGTTCAAAGGAGGGTTAACGCTAACCCTGGGTTAAAATTTAACCTGCTGTTTTAGTTTGTATATTTCTGCACGTCTGCTTATTTCAAAACTTCAGAGAAGTAAACTCCTATCGATCCAGACAAGATCTCTGAAGAAATATTTCCAAATTTATAGACAAGCTGTCGGGAAGTTTTCTTTAAATTTTAGGTTAACCCTGGGTTAAGCTAGCCTAGCTTTGAACAACCGGTCCCCGGTCTTAAACGGTAATTTTTTATTTAAATTCTGTTTCTTTTTAGATTTTAAATGTTAGAAAAAATTTTATTAATGCCTAAACTACTGTACCCGTGCAGTGTATTTTGTGTTTGTTTCAATTACCTTTAATAATTAAATAGCTATGTTTTTGTTTGCAATTTGTCATTTAAAATCCTCGCCATCTTTTTTGTGCCCACGCATCAGACGTTTTTCCGCGGTGTTGGGCAAGCATCATTGCAATCGTAAACTTTCATTCTTTCCCAATCTTAGCTGATAACCCTATCCACAATGCTGACACTAGTAATTACATAAATTTACATGATGTGTTAACATAATGTAAATTTATGTAATTACTAGTGTCAGCATTGTGGATCTTTGCCGGAATCTTAATGGTAAATATGAGGCAGTAGTTTAACCGTTAAAACCGAGCATTTTCCCTTGACGAACATTAGTGAAATAACTAAGTAGACGGCATTAGGGCACATCACGACGTGATGGGTGACCAAATTTGATTTCTAATATCAAGCTGGAGGTTGGTCGATTTACATCGTTTTGTGTTTATGTGATGTATTTGGGATACATTGAAAAAACCCACCAATGGAGTAAGAGTGACTTCAATGGAACCTGGGAATAGGAAGTGTTAAAACTAAACTGATTCTAATTATTTTCCGTCTAGCACCTGGAATACCACGTGGACTCGTTGCGACCAATATTTCTTCCACTGTGCTCAATGTGACCTGGAGTGAACCATCGCGGAGAAATGGAATTCTCACAGAATATACAGTCTATTATAAGTTGGTACAATATGACAATAACACATTAGTGAGCAACCCAGTCTGGAAGTTCGAACAAACTGACCTAAGGACTGTAAAACTATCTGGTCTTGGTAAGTTAAAGGACTTGCTGAAAGGCGTGAAAGCTGAAGTACTGTAGCTTTTGTATCGGTTTACAAATTGATCATCTTAAGTATGTGACCCCCATCCCCCTCCAAAAACAAATATTGTTCCATAGACCTTATGTACATATATTAAGCTGGAATAGTCATGAATTGGGCCATCCCAAGAACAAATTACGATGAGTATGAGAAACCAGACACAGTACTAAAATGCGGTGCCCGCCTACAAATAAAACTTTCGGCGTTTCCGCCTACATGCACAAGTAAAGTTATATTTAGCACGCTACATTCTCCTGTCGGCCGCCAGTTGGTCCGTACTTTCAAAACTGCGTTTTAAAGCCTTCGAAATAAAATATTTTTGGCTCAAAATACTATCAAAATGAGGAGAAAAGTGAGACGAATCCACTGGCATACGGCCGAAAACGAGAAAACCAACAATTCCGAAGTTATCAAGGATCAAACGGACTGCATTTTTAATTAGTTTAATAATTTTGAGCGATTTGTCAACAATACAATTTCACTTGTTTTTCAAAGGCCATAAATCACTAGAATACTGTTGTTTAGTAATACATTTGACATCTGTGAATATAATTTCTTACGCTGAATCGAACGGTGGTATTTTTGTCCTTATTGGGCGCATAAAACCAGAGATAAGGCGCAGCAAAAAGTCGATCGTGAGATTCCGAGATTAATTCGAAAGAAAACTTTCCTCGAAATAAGGAATTCGGAAAACGTGAAGGATTATTTTGAGCGGCTTGTCTTTCAAAAGCCACAAATCGCTAGAATAGAAGTCAATTTTGAAATCAATTTTCCATCCGTAAATACAACGTTTCACGCTGATTCGAACTGTAGTATTTTTGTCCTTGTTTGACGCATAAAACCAGAGATAAAGCCTAGAAACACTCGATCACAAGAGTACCGACAACAACCAACAAATTCCGAGCACGTGCAAGGAATTTTTAGTAGGCGATTAAGGAAACGTATTGATGCGAACTATGCATTGTACAGTCATAATTCATTAATACACTGATACATATGTACACTACATGCATCAGGGTTCGTACGGGTCCTGGAAAACCTGGAAAGTCATGGAATTTCAATATTCCAAAATCCAGGCCTAGAAATCCTGGAAAATCAATTTTAGTCATGGAAAGTCATGGAAAATTGAAATTTTACATAGCATTAACAAAGTATTTTACTTATTTCAATTTACCAGTCATAACAATAATATGAATTGTTGTTATATAACGGATTTTTGCAAGAGCAAAGTGAATTTTGTTCTTTTATTATATCTGTTATTGTTAAAATAACGAACTTCAGAAATTCCAGACTTCCAGGTCATGGATTTTGAAAGAAATGGTCATGGGAAGTCGTGGAAAAATCATGGAATTTTAAATGGGAGAAGGTGTACGAACCCTGATGCATGCATTCGTTGATTTTGGTTCGTGGACAGTTCTATATTGTACATTAAGAAACAAATGTAACAGACAGATATAACTTTCTTCATTTTGAACAGTCCTGGCTGTATGGACAAGACAAGGTCTGGAATCTACAACCAGGGGCAAACTACATATTTAAGAAATCGCTTTACAATTTTTATTGCAACTATTTGCGTAGCCAGGGAAACGTGCGGGGGGCCGAGGGGGGGGGGGATTTGCCCCGGTTCCCCAAATATCTCTGCATGGGCAGCCCTGTGCGTAGCGATAAACTACTGAAAAACCAAAAGGGTACATTGTTCACTTATAATAAAGCTCGCTTATTAGCCAGTTAAATTGCGTGCTATTCCTGTACATCATCCTTATTTTATCGTACCTTATACTAATAATAGTTGTATTAATCATTATGAAAAAAAGTCGTTATGTATGTTTTATAGAAAAGTACAGTTTGTATGAAGTTAATGTGAGCGCTTCTACAAGTGAAGGGAAAGGAATACATGTAACAAATAAATATAGAACTGATGAAGACGGTAAGTATTGTTTTAATTGAGAAATTCGGGCAAAGGCATGCTTTATGGTATAACGGCGGGTTCGTTGTCCTGTCCACTTCGCTGGGTTTCATGATTTTACAGTATTCGACTGGTTATAGATAGAACGAGGATCACAGAATAAAGATCCATACACAAGGGCCACTTACGTCGGAAGCTTTGAATTTTTTGTCCTCGCCCATGTCGCATTACGCATGTTGACCGCCATTTTCCTAGCCAGTTAATGACATTTTCTGGCCAATAAACATGCTGTACTGGCTGTTTGCTCCGCCTTCTGGGGCCGGTTGTATAAAAAAGTGATTAAAGTTAACTATGATTAAGTGCAAACGTCATCCAATAGGAAGCGCCTATTTGAGAGTTAATCACTATTTAACTACAAAATAGTGATTAAAAAAGTGATTAAGAGTTTTATACAACCGGCCCCAGGCCAGTAAACTGCATATTTTTGCATAAAAAAAACGAGGACACGTTGCACTTCTGAGTGGCCCTTCTGTTACTGATCTTTATTCTGTGACGAGGATCGCGGACTCCGAGAACACTAACGCCTGGAATCTCAGTCTGTTTATCCTCTAAGCGTTTTAGTTGAAATTTCTGTGAATTCTACTTATATGAAATAGCTGAATGAGTAAAAGAACAGTACTTCGTTTTCTGCATATAAATAACAATAAAATTTAGAAAGATTTCAGCTTTATGATAAACGCTTAACTTATAGTTTGTCGTACTTTAAATACGTCGAAGTATTCTTTTGCATAAAAGTTTTAAAGTGATATAAAAAACAAGTGGTTAGAATTTGCATGCTCACCATGTAGCAAATTTTGCTACATTAGCAAACAATGATATTGTAATCCCTAACTGGGAATACATTCATGCAGCAACGCCTCGCTCATATTTTTCAAACATTGCTTTAACATGAAGTGGGGTCGACATGGCGGATTTGCTGCATGTGGTCTTCGCCGTGTGGGGGAAAGCAGTGCATGTTTTAGACAAAACATTAAAGCAACAAAATTCATCATTAAACATTCAGAGAAAACTTGCCCTAACTTTGCGATTTCCTATGGGAAAATGGTAAATCAATTCGTCTCATTTCTTCAAACAAAAATTGCTTCAAAGCTCATTGTATGAAACGATTTTCCAAATATATGTTTTTGAAAATTGAAATCTTGAGATCAGGTCCACCCATACAGGGCCGCAGCTAGACGCGATAATTTTGGAGGGGGGTGTATATTCATATATCCATGTTCACATACCGTAAAAACAATCGCTTTCAAAAGAAATCCGTCGGGCAGAACACGAATATATGAATATGCATTCCCCCCCCCCCCTCACACACACAATTATCGGTCTAGCTACGGCCCTGCACTCATGGATCATAGCGATTATTGCTTTAGACTTCGCTAATGATTTCCTTTCCCCTGGTGTAATAAATTTTATAAGAATTTAAGAATGCTTTATAAATTTAGAGTTCAAACGATGCAGGAAAGGTTTATAAGGAACATCTTTCATTATACACTTGATAAAAAGCATGCTTATTGTTCTGTTACAGTACCTGGCCCTCCTAGTAATCTGCGGTGTGGTTCTCCGGCAAAAAAATCCCTTGATGTTAGTTGGTCGAAGCCTGTTGACCCTAATGGTGTAATACGGAGTTACAATGTGTCATGGAAGAAAATTAGAAATAAGGACGCGCCTGATAACGAATCTGGCTCGGGCTCTGATGCAACGGAAAAGCAAAGTCTTACAAATATTGGTAATGGCGAACTTGGTGAGTTGTGGCTCTACGGGATAGTAGAAGGCTACTCAGTGACAAAGCCACCCCAGTCAAGTTTTAGTGCAGAGGTCATGTGATGTATGCACTATTGTTGAGGGTTGTTGTCGAGGGTCGAGACTCAAAAGTGGCGGGTCCAAAAACTTGCCATCAATATTAATTTCTATTTTCTACTAAAAGTATAAATTTTACGTTGGTCGAAATTTCAGTTCAAAGTTAATAAATTTCCTGTTTATATTTAAACGTACATAAAGCACCAAAGCGATTTGAAATGTAATAAAACGATACATTTGATGATACTACCAATTGCGTTGCATTGACACTTGACACGGCACCAGTCACCAGACGAAATCCTGTCCATTTGGACTTTCTGTAAAGCCTATAATTAGATGCGACATTTGTTTGACCGAATTTCAGAACTGGGGCCGGTTGTGTAAAACTCTTAATCCCTTTTTAATCACTATTTTGTAGTTTAAATAGTGATTAACTCTCAAATACGCGCTTCTTATTGGATGACGTTTCCACTAACTATAGTTAACTTTAATCACTTTTTTATACAACCGGCCCCTGATGGGACGTTGTTAAGTTGTTCACGTTTGATAGACTCATTTCTGAATATTCGGCGATTCACACACTTCATCTACGCAAATTATTTGAGAGATTACGCTACCAGTTAAAGCGGTTAAGCATCTTGAACAATAGCATGTACTTCCCGATTTCGGAATATCAGTAAGCATGGAATGCTGGCAAGTTCTCAATTTTCCTATGAATACGCGACTCTGCGCCAGAACGAAGTTCCGTAATATACAATTTGCAGTAAAACTAGATTCGCTCGGGTAACATGGCTTTTTTATCCTTTCACATTTGCCATTTGATCTCTGCACTATCTTTGGGATCTCTGAGTTTTAAAGTACATTATTCAACGCATGTTTTGTCTATTACACTTCATTTCTAAAACTTCGCCACTATGTTGACTCATCCTGTATTCAACGTACAGTCATACACAGATTTCCGGGCATGAGTGCTGAGACTGGTCGGTTGGGGATACAGTATGCATTAGAATTGCTACTGATTTAAATATGCTTTGGAAACTGCTCGACGAACAGTCTTCGTCCTCCGCAGGCAACTCTGTAACAATGGTGTTCTTAAATAGTGTGATTCATATCAATAACTAAAGAATTCTGAAAGAAGCACGACGATACGAGACATTGAAACAACGTAGCGTAAAGTAAAAAGGCCTGGGGCGGGAAGGTATGGAGGCGAGAATGGGCGTTACGGGGTTACTTCTGGGGTACGCCCTTTTTCGTGTACTTTGTACAGAATCCGACAGCATAATATACAACATAATATTATTTAACGCGGGGTTGTATTCCAATTCTGAATTCGATATTTATATTTGGATGCGCAGTTGAAACTATAAACTGGCTTATTGGGGCGCTCTCCATTTTAATACGCTGTCAGAACCAGAATTTGTCTCCACGATATGTTGATTGGAAAGACAAGTTCCAAGAAATTTCATATCCTGTTGCTTTCGTTCAATCCTATAATACATGTTTAAGGTTGAATTGAAGAACAATACAGAAAAATACTCATCTTTCGTACACTCTGTACTGTCCGTCATCTTGGATTTTCATAAATGCGGGAAATGCCAAAATGGACCTGCTACTGATTTCGTCCAAATATTCCGGTCAGATTGTTTTTGACATGGAAGAGTTTTGTATTCTATTAAGCATTTTGATTGATCTGGTCGTGTAAACGGAAAGCGCCCTAATTTTTTTCAGTTGTGTTCTTCCCTGCTCTCTTGTGTACCACGAATGATTTCTTCCGTTTATTTTTGTAGAACCATACACTGAATACATTGTTAGTGTTGGGGCTCGTACTCTTCCAGAACTGGATTATGGTGAAATAGTTAATATACCGTGTGATACTGCAGCAGATGGTAAGAACTTCAAGTCATTTGATATCGCAGTCCAATCTCAGGAAGGGTGGCAGCCATCTTGAATATTTTACTTGAACTTTTTGTAAGCGTAAATTAATTAACAAACACGGAATTCGCACCGCATAGTATTTATGACTCGGCTGAGTATGTTTACTGTGTATTGTGTTTGTTTGCCTTTAGAGCTAATTATAAGTAGTTCTCAGGGACCTACCTCTGCCATATGTAAACGGTAATATAGCCCATATTATGTTTGAAAAATGTTTTTTTATTGTAGTACCTAAAACTGCTCCTCTAAATGTAATAGCTGTTCGTCTGGGTCCAAGTAAAGCCCAAGTAAGGTGGGAAGAAATACCTAAGATGAACTGGCAAAATTCAAACATAACCTATATCGTGAAGTACAAGAGAAGTGAATCGACACCAGAAACAACAGAAGTCAAAAGTTCAGAATTAAGTGTGGAACTGAAAAGTTTAAACTCTAACTCCAACTATACTGTTTACGTTTTTGCAAGAAATTCTGTTGGTGATGGTAAAAAAAGTGAAATAGCGTCCTTCAGGACGAACTCGTGTAAGTAACGTGTTCCTAAGAATTTCGGCTCTTTTGTGCATGCAGGATTTGACAGTTTGCACAATCTTCCTTTTTATGTCAAAAACAGAAACGTCCTATACAAAAACGTCAATAGTATTTATAGGGGCGTCTGAATTTCAGACACCCTAATAATTCCAGTCTTTCAAAATCTCAAATCAATATTAAGAACATAGGAGGGGTGTCTGAATTTCAAAGTGTGTCAAAATCTCAAATCACAACTAACAAAACAGGGATGTGTCTGAATTTCAGACACTCTTGTAATTCAAAAGCTTCAAAATAGTGCTGTGCGGCGGAGAACGGATCTCCGGCATTTTCGACTACTGCAAACGGCCAAATTGCAAGTCATCGTGTCTATCTTATCTATCACAGGAAAAGTTGTAAATCGCAAGCGTCATGATTTAATACGCTGCATCACGTCATCTGGGACGAAACCTTGGGACAAAATTGTGCCGAATAATATCCGCCATTATCCTATAATTTGTCCTCTGTGTCGAGAACCAACGCAGCCAGAGTAGCTAGTCAAATATTTGATCTGTAAAGCAACCGGAGCTTAAAAACTGGAGTTTGCACTGCACTACCAGTGCAAAATCTCAAATGAAGATTTTTTAGAATTTCTGAGACTTGTTTATCAAATGCAATACTTAAAAGTCTCAAATCAATGGCAACGCGGACTTTTCTATTTGATTCAGTTGCTAGAAAATGCAAGTAAAACATGTAAAAATTGCAATTCCTGGCATGCATTCTTAATTGCTTCACAATCCATTTCCAGCCTACAATTTGAAAATACAGAAAACGTTCCTGTTAAAAACAAGACAAAATTGTAAATTGCAACATTTGTCTTTATATTAATTCGTATCTTGGATTTTCAAGATGCATCTTTTTGGAATTTGTTGTATTTCATATTCTTGCTTCAATGTCAGTATTTAATAATTAGACAACGAGGCCGAGTTGTCTATGAGCGAATAGTCAACGAGGCGAAGCCGAGTTGACTATTTGCTCATAGACAACGAGGCCGAGTTGTCTAATTGTTTTAGTATAAACTTTAACATTAATTTACAACTAGGCTGCAAACACAATACAAAAAATACACAAAAAACATTATAAAACCATTAAAGGTAAACAAATATTTTAGTTTTTGTTCGCGTAAAATGTTTTACAAAATTCAGTTTTAATTTTAAAATTTCATTGAGTGTATATTATTTTGTCTATTTTCTTACCCTTAAAAATTGCCATTCCATATTTTTGTTGCTTTTTTCGGGGGGTTTTGGTACAGAATTGTTCAACAAGTCGTCCAAAAAATCATCAGACACTTCGGCAAAAGTGCAAAACGCGAATTTTCCGCCATTTTGAATTTTCTATTGGTAGGCTATCACTAATAGCCTACTAGTAGCGTAGCTAATCAGAAGGCACGATATGTGATAGCCTACTAGTAGGTTTATACTAAATAATAATAGACCTTAGAAGTGCTTACGTCATGACGACTTCCGGGATGCACAGGACATTGTGGGATACTTTTGGGTTAATAATGGACCATTTGCATTATAGACTAAATTTTGATCTACAATCTTTGCCAGAAACTATGGGACAGCTGCTGTAATTTCATAAATTTTGAAAGGAATAGCGCCCCCCGTTCCCCCAGTTCAATGTTGGGCCAACAAAAATTTGATGTCTGGATGCGCGGCGCCAACATTGAAACGGGTGGGGGGAGGGAGGGTGGAAAATATGTATCAGCAAATGGTATATTACAACCGAATGCATGTGAAAACTAGATTGTCCCAATCTATATTGTCAAAGATTGTCTGTTGAAGTAATACCATTACTCTTAAATTTAACTTAATTCGACTTGTAGACATCATTAAGCTGTGTACGCAGTCAATTTTCATAAATTCTTCACACCTTTTAGGTCCTTTAGCAATTTCGTTGCACACAGATAATTTGCGTGTACTGTGTTATACAATGCTTGCGTATGCGTGTGTTAGGAAATAGCTAAAATCCGGCTGAATTTCATCGCGTATATTTAAAACCAGATTTAAAGGCTTGTAGTGGTATATTTTAGTCACAATTCATTGAATTCCATGCATGGTAACAGTATTGGAACTCTATTTAAGGATAATTGACAACTGAGCCAACTTGTTAGTAAACTAAGCGCGTATATGTGAAATGAGATCCTTATAGAAACGAATCTCACCACGAATCTCACCATATTTTGATGGGCTCACACGCCATAAAAGCCTTAATAGCAGACAATATCAAACAAATTCACCCTAGGCATCTAAAGTACAGCATATTTTACAAGATAGGACCATTTTACAAGTTTTCGTAACGAACTGACTAAGATACGAATGATTTTGTAGCAACGATTCTCACCTTTCTGTCATAAAATAGCCAATGAGATATAGATTTATTTACAGATTTGTAGTGAGCTTCGTTCAAAAACGAACTTAAAAAGGGATATCTGCAAAGCTAACCGATTGTAATTAAGGAAAATGGTTTCTTGTACCCATATGTATATAAAATGTAAGATAAGTAAAATTTATAGTAACACAAATCAGCGTTTTAGACTGAGATTCGTTAGTGAGCATCGTGTAATATGAAACGTATGAAATTTGACTACTGGCTGCGTTATGAACTGTGCTATAAATCTTATACTGTAAACGTAATTTAGCTTGGAAATGGCCACAGTTCTCAAGTATAAGTTTGTAAAAGGCGAAAACAATGCATATTTATTTGTCTTTCCCCGCAGTTTAATAAGTTGTGAGATGAGTTTAAACCTACCCCACTCACAAACCGATTATTTCTGAATAGTTCTGTTCCAGGTTCGTCGTAATTATGGTCTTTTGCATCATTCCAAAGACAGCAAGTAACTTTTGAGTAAATTTCCGCGGATTTTTCACAAGGAAGAGAGCTATGATGATATTAGACGTGAATATAAATGTGCTTATTAAGCATTATAGCTAGTAGCACACGTACCTGTATTGGTATGTAAAGTGTTAAAAATAACACAACCCCCCCCCCCGGAATGAATGGATAGTATCTAAAACTACCAAAACTTGCCCACATATGCTTCGATACTGGAATATATGTAATTGGGCGGTATAAACTTAAAACTAAAACGTTTAATTACCAAATTCCAAACACAATTGGTCACCACCAAGACAATCTTTGCCAGAAACTATGGGACAGCTGCTGTAATTTCATATATTTTGAAAGGAATAGCGCCCCCCGTTCCCCCAGTTCAATGTTTGGCCAACAAAAATCTGATGTCTGGATGCGCGGCGCCAACATTGAAACGGGTGGGGGGAGGGAGGGTGGAAAATATGTATCAGCAAATGGTATATTACAACCGAATGCATGTGAAAACTAGATTGTCCCAATCTATATTGTCAAAGATTGTCTGTTGAAGTAATACCATTACTCTTAAATTTAACTTAATTCAACTTGTAGACATCATCAAGCTGTGTACGCAGTCAATTTTCATAAGTTCTTCACACCTTTTAGGTCCTTTAGCAATTTCGTTGCACACAGATAATTTGCGTGTATTGTGTTATACAACGCTTCCGTATGCGTGTGTTAGGAAATAGCTAAAATCCGGCTGAATTTCATCGCGTATATTTAAAATCAGATTTAAAGGCTTGTAGTGCCACATTTTAGTCACAATTCATTGAATTCCATGCATGGTAACAGTATTGGGACTCTATTTAAAGAAAACTCACAACTGAGCCAACTTGTTAGTAAACTAAACGCGTATATGTGACAATGAGATCAATATAGAAACGAATCTCACCACGAATCTCACCAAAATTTCATGGGCTCACCCGCCATAAAAGCCTTAATAGCAGACAATATCAAACAAATTCACCCTAGGCATCTAAAGTCCAGCATATTTTACAAGATAGGACGATTTTACAAGTTTTCGTAACGAACTGACTAAGATACGAATGATTTTCTAGCAACGATTCTCACCTTTCTGTCATAAAATAGCCAATGAGATATAGATTTATTTACAGATTTGTAGTGAGCTTCGTTCAAAAACGAACTAAAAAAGGGATATCTGCAAAGTTAACCGATTGTAATTAAGGAAAATGGTTTCTTGTACCCATATGTATATAAAATGTAAGATAAGTAAAGTTTATAGTAACGCAAATCAGCGTTTTAGACCGAGATTCGTTAGTGAGCATCGTGTAATATGAGACGTATGAAATTTGACTACTGGCTGCGTTATGAACTGTGCTATAAATCTTATACTGTAAACGTAATTTAGCTTGGAAATGGCCACAGTTCTCAAGTATAAGTTTGTAAAAGGCGAAAACAATGCATATTTATTTGTCTTTCCCTGCAGTTTAATATGTTGTGAGATGAGTTTAAACCTACCCCACACACAAACCGATTATTTCTGAATAGTTCTGTTCCAGGTTCGTCGTAATTATGGTCTTTTGCATCATTCCAAAGACAGCAAGTAACTTTTGAGTAAATTTCCGCGGATTTTTCACAAGGAAGAGAGCTATGATGATATTAGACGTGAATATAAATGTGCTTATTAAGCATTATAGCTAGTAGCACACGTACCTGTATTGGTATGTAAAGTGTTAAAAATAACACAACCCCCCCCCCCGAATGAATGGATAGTATCTAAAACTACCAAAACTTGCCCACATATGCTTCGATACTGGAATATATGTAATTGGGCGGTATAAACTTAAAACTAAAACGTTTAATTACCAAATTCCAAACACAATTGGTCACCACCAAGACAATCTTTGCCAGAAACTATGGGACAGCTGCTGTAATTTCATATATTTTGAAAGGAATAGCGCCCCCCGTTCCCCCAGTTCAATGTTTGGCCAACAAAAATCTGATGTCTGGATGCGCGGCGCCAACATTGAAACGGGTGGGGGGAGGGAGTGTGGAAAATATGTATCAGCAAATGGTATATTACAACCGAATGCATGTGAAAACTAAATTGTCCCAATCTATATTGTCAAAGATTGTCTGTTGAAGTAATACCATTACTCTTAAATTTAACTTAATTCAACTTGTAGACGGCATCATAAAGCTGTATACGCAGTCAATTTTCATAAGTTCTTCACACCTTTTAGGTCCTTTAGCAATTTCGTTGCACACAGATAATTTGCGTGTACTGTGTTATACAATGCTTGCGTATGCGTGTGTTAGGAAATAGCTAAAATCCGGCCGAATTTCATCGCGTATATTTAAAACCAGATTTAAAGGCTTGTAGTGGTATATTTTAGTCACAATTCATTGAATTCCATGCATGGTAACAGTATTGGAACTCTATTTAAAGAAAATTGACAACTGAGCCAACTTGTTAGTAAACTAAGCGCGTATATGTGACAATGAGATCCTTATAGAAACGAATCTCACCACGAATCTCACCAAATTTTGATGGGCTCACACGCCATAAAAGCCTTAATAGCAGACAATATCAAACAAATTCACCCTAGGCATCTAAAGTCCAGCATATTTTACAAGATAGGACCATTTTACAAGTTTTCGTAACGAACTGACTAAGATACGAATGATTTTCTAGCAACGATTCTCACCTTTCTGTCATAAAATAGCCAATGAGATATAGATTTATTTACAGATTTGTAGTGAGCTTCGTTCAAAAACGAACTTAAAAAGGGATATCTGCAAAGTTAACCGATTGTAATTAAGGAAAATGGTTTCTTGTACCCATATGTATATAAAATGTAAGATAAGTAAAATTTATAGTAACGCAAATCAGCGTTTTAGACCGAGATTCGTTAGTGAGCATCGTGTAATATGAGACGTATGAAATTTGACTACTGGCTG